ATGAACATCAAGCTAGACTGACAGCCCTAATATCACATGTCCGGCTTTATATGCCAAATGACTAAAGTGTCAAGGTAGTCACCTGACAATTTACATGGGCCCATTTTAGTCCCCAAATCTATAAAAAATATTAATTTAGTCCTAGACACTTTAATATAGACTTAAATAGTTTCAAAGGATAATAATCAGTTCAGCCCATATTAAAAGAATTTTGGGACTATTTTGACACACTCTTATAGACCCTAGGGCTAAAATTGATCCCTACAAAAAGTCTCCCTTATGGCATTTTTCTCTGCGCCAAGTGCAGCCTTTTCTTACATTGATAAACATAGAAATTAGCGCCAAAGAAGCCAACTTTACACTAATCAAAATATTTGATAATTTGCTTTTGCATTTAGAATCAAGTTAATCATTCTCAACCATGGCTACACAATTTAAATTACACCAACAATAAAACTAATCTTAATAATATGCATCGGACCATAACCAACCCTACTAACAGGCAACAAGAATTTCACCTTGTGAGTTACGAGAAAGAGAATGTAATAATTTGGTTATTTCTGACAGTAATAGTCATTTATCAACATTCCAAAAACAGCAAAAAACAAAATCCACCAAATACCATCTCACAAGAAAGCACTAGGCATAAATATCACCTAGCGGATACTCATCAAAGTTTGCATACAAATACATTGTTCCCACAACAGTATAAGTAGTAAATATCGCATATTAAGTCAAATAACAAATCATCATGCTGAAACTAATGAGTTCTGAGGAGAAAATATGGTAATAGCTCGAGCTATCTGTAACAAGCCATAATACCATTATATTAAACATTTCATTGATGAAGAAGACTGACCACAACAAAGATGTCTTCGCCGCAAAATCGAGTCAGTTTGCTCGCCCTTTGATGACTTCGAGATCCATCTCAGATGGATCGGTCGCCTGCAACTCCACCTGAATTCCATCGAGCTCTCTCTTGAAGCTCTCCTTCGAGCTCGCATAAAGCATCTTACTCCTCACCTTCGACGTGTCGGGAGACCTTCGCAAAATACGTATGAAGTGCAGAGTCGAAACCAAAAGAGAGTTTTTGATGAACAAGCATTATCTAATAGCATAATTGGAAGATTTGCATATTAAATTTCTATGTAACTACACATCTAACATCTAAACTTCACCTTTAACATATATGCCATTTACCTATGCATGAAAAGGTGATTTGCCATTTTTTTAAAAGTAAAAGTAGTGGTATTTTAAAGTGATATGAAAGATTTGAGCTGTATAAATGTAAATAGTAAATTAAGATATTAGACATGTAAATACATATGAATTGGGCGACATAAAAAAAAAATGACCCTAAATATTATGGAAGAAGAAAGAGCTTACCATGCTATGAAAAAGATCTTGCTTTTAGGGACATTCTCTTCAGTAAAAAAATCGAAATCGAAAATAGCGTAGCGACATTCATTTGCAGGGAGATGGGTGATGAAATCATCGTAATTCAAAGTAGGTTCACCAAGCTTTTCGACGATAATCTGCTTAAGTTTCTCATCAATCTTGTAAATTATGAAACGATGGGTTCTCTTTGCCTTCAATTCAAGGAACTTCAACTTGCAGTCATCATTCACCGCCATCCCTGATGCTGAATTGGCCTAATATTTCATCATGCAAAATATAAAAATGCAGCTCATTTAAAAAAGAAAATTTTAAAGTAAATCTAAAAAACAGGATCTTTCAATAAAGTGCATTATAGATTCATGATGAAATAACAGCTAAATAAAAAGAGCATGCAATGAATTCTCGGGAAAAAGAAAAAAAAATACAGGTAATGGATTACAAGGACATCAATAACAAAATAGCACTCAAGATTTTGGTAAGTTAAATGCAACGGGTTCATCAAAGAACCCTGAATATGTAAAAAAGAAACGAGACATAGACCTGAAAAAACAGAATCCATTAAAAAAAATTTTAATACTACATAATTCTGAGCAATTCCAGATTTGCCACACAAACCCCGGATTCATTTCTCCAAGTCATCAAGATGAAAACAAAAAAAAATATGAAAGGAACAAAAATCGCAGGGAATTTAAGAAAAATTTAGCATAAATCCTCTCAGACAGAATTTTTGGGATTCCAATCCGACTGTTTTGATAAATCTAATTTCAGACCCGTCATTGTTAATTCGTTACTCTTTCAATCTCAGCATTCAGATGATTTAGAAAATTAAAGAATTTCCCAACCCACAAACCTGAAATACTGAAACAAATAGCCATGCAATTTTCAGATTTTAATTCTTTCAAGATTAACCATCTGGATTTACAAGATTCACTAAATACAACTTCTAGCCTAAGAGAAAAATCATAAATAAGAAAAAAAAATCCAAATGATAAATCCAACGAAGTGAGTCCCATCAAGACGTTGATTAGAGCTAAGCCGCAAGGGTATTGAGGCCGGATCCAGTGAAATCTCACGGCGGATTAAACAAGCATATGTAAATGAGAAGAAATTAAAAATAGATATTAATGACAAATGAGGACTTAAGCCATAAGAACTGCAAGCCCTAAAAGCTCCATAGTAAAAAAGAAGAAAAAGAGAGAGAAAGAGAGAGAGATACCATTTCGTAAAAGCTGATTCGGGGCAGCGAGGTGTAGAGGAAGAGATAATCTAGGGTTTCTTTCTGGAGCTAGAGAATCGGGAAGTTGAGAGTTGAGAGGGGAGGCGGTGGCCCGTGAGTAGCGAAGGTCGGTACGGTGGTTCCGTAAATATTTCGTAAACTCCCGCCGCGGGCCCGACAAAGATTGTTATTCACCAATCAAAATATGCCACGTGGTGATTAGCGTGAACCAAACGCGAGATAATGAGTATGGGCTTGGGCCTGAACAGATTTAAGTTCGGCCCAATGTAACGATATTTTTAATAACAAAAATATATTACATTTGTTTCTCTTTTAAAATTTATAAATGTCATCAACATAATTTAATTATATATAAAAAATTAATTTGTCAAAAAGTTTATTTGGTCATGCTCCCTTGCTTTGGGACCTATAAAACCTCCTCGTATTGGGATTTTTTTGAGATAGCTAGAAGAACTACACTCGACTTGATCCTCTCTGGAAGTTTGCTGGATGGAACTCTGTCGAGTGCAGAGGACTGAAGATGTAATAGTATTAGGAAGTTCAAATCCTCCTTCACCAACTAAGAAAGTTCCGTAGAGTTCCTAATTGCATAAAAAGAGTCAAAATAGTGACTGCAGCGCGTCGAGGTGCGTCCTAATATAGTGAGATTCTCTTACCACTCAGGGCCTGGGTGCTTTTCCGAGGAAACGAAGGGAAGGGGGCAAAAAA